AAAGAGCTGGGAACATTTTGATGCACAAAGAACTCCATTTCCTAAAAATTCAGGGGGGGGGAAAAAATTATACTAACTCAGAAACTGAAAAATCTGCTAAAGTAAAAATCCACAATAACTGGTGAAACCAACTGTGAGCCCACAAACACTCCCACCCACCCACTGCACAAAAATACTCCAGAGTCACCTCACTACACAAAAAGCATAGAAATGAAGAAAAAAGCTGGCCTTACAGTATTTCAAATGATGTACTTGCCACAACATACAAAGGAGCAAAGGAAATTGGCATCAGAGCTGCAGTTGTGTCCCTGACCCCCGCTGCTCTACTCACATGGAATCATTTCGGGCCAACTGGCCATTCTGTCGAGTGGCGTTTTCGCTCATGGAACGTTCTCTCTTCAGTCTTCCCACCGAGCGGACCTGGGCAAAAGGGGAGAGAGAGGGAGATAGAAGACGGAATTCCAGGAGACACTTAATAGTTGGCACTGGAGATTTATGAGTTCTCTCTGCCCTCAGATACAAAGGCACGTTCTCGTGGGCTTCACAGTGCTTAGGAGGACAACGGCTGACGACAGGATCCGATATGGTACACGTAAAACCAATGGCAAAACTTACTGCAATCCGGTCCTCTACCCTCATGATTGGATGCCAAAAGTATGAACAAAAGCAGTATCATGTTCAATAATCCTTCCTATCACCAGAGATAAAATGTATTTCCACTGCAATTTGTGAGTCTATAGAATATGCAGCTTCAGAAATGTGTTTCAGTTTTTAAGATGTCGATCGGACATCATCCACCTGGATGGCGAACTTCCACCACACCTCAAAGTTGGTTTTCAGGGTTCTGCTAGAACTCACTAATTTTATATGGCCATGAATTCCAAAGGTTGCCTATACACATTAAAAGAATCTTAGTTTGTTTTCTGATAACCTACAAATTAAAATCTTGCAGCTTTCTCTTCAATCAAAAGAATTTTTTTGTTAAAAGTATTCTGAGTAGCTCTAATAACAACCTTATTTTTGCAACTACTGTGTAAGCTTCTCAAGCATGGCAACCCCAGGTCATCTACCACAGAGCGGTTTGGGTTGGAAGGGACCTTAAAGACAATCCAGTCCCACCCCCCTGCCATGGGCAGGGACACCTTCCACTAGACCAGGTTGCTCCAAGCCTCATCCAGCCTGGCCTTGGATACTTCCAGGGATGGGGCATCAACAGCTCCTCTGGGCAACCTGTCCCAGTGCCTCACCACCCTCTCCGGGAAGAACTTCTTCCTGATATCTAATCTAAACCTCCCCACTTTCAATTTAAACCCGTTACCCCTTGTCCTGTCACTACAGGCCCTTGTAAAAGGTCCCCCCCCAGCTTCCTTGTAGCCCCTTCAGGCACTGGAAGGTGCTGTAAGGTGTCCCCGGAGCCTTCTCTTCTCCAGGCTGAACAAGCCCAACTCTCCCAGCCTGTCCCCATGGCAGAGGGGCTCCAGCCCTTCGTGGCCTCCTCTGGACTCGCTCCAACCAGTCGATATCCTTCTGATGTTGAGGGCTCCAGTTTAAATACAGAACTTCAAAGTCATATTTAGAACTACTACAATGCTAATAACTTTTTTTTATATTTCCCCAACTTAAGTTGGCACCGAGTAGATCTGCACCACAATAGAGAAATCATCGGTCATTGCACTTTCTGTAGTAGAATGCTTCTCAACGAAGGAAAAAGCAAAATAAATACTAGCCTCTTCATTTTGAGGTGTCTGCTGTGGAGGTTTCTCTAGGTCCAAAAAATCTAGTGGTTGATCACTAAGAGAAATAACACGGGGAGGAGTTTTCAATGCCAGCGGTTTGAATGGAGTAGACTGAAGGAGGTCAAGGTCTGGTGGTCTGGAGAATGGAATGTCTTCACTATTACCTGCAAGAACATCAGTTGTCAGTAGAAAGCAAGCTGTCCTGAGGGCTAATGCTAAACTTCAAAAAGACATCACAACAGTTACTTCCCCTGAGTGTGCCAAATAATTAACTATACCTTTCTTTAACAGGGCTTATATGTTAAAAACAATGGTCAAAGCTCCTGTAAAGACAACATGAATTGACACTTATTTGAGCAGTTTCCCCAGAAACGATGATCCTGAGCAATATCAACTGTTATTGCAAAGTGAGAGCAATTTTATTCTCAAGACAGGCCCATTAAAGGTGTATTTGTTCAGAAACATGGTGACTGGAGATGTCACTCTTTCAAAGCATAAAGTATATGCATGTCACATTTTGGAAACTGCAAGACCTTCAGCAGTTCCACGTCACTGTAAAGCACCTGACCTTAAATACTAAAGAAGTATTGATAGTCCACCCAATAATAGACAGAGCCTTAACATAATTAGCATTCTGATTATAATCAAGCATATTTTGCATGGCTAACATACAGTACATCCCCCAAACTTGTTATAGTTACTTTAGCTTACAGTTAATTAAGAGAAATCAGGTGTAAATCAATAGACTTTGCTCCAGAAATGGTTTAGTAAGATGAAAAGTCAGCAATTACACTATCTGTTCATAATTCATTCATTAACTGTCTCCATGACAAGCTATACCAAAACTATTCGGGAAACATTTTCAGAGTTTAAGAAATACATATTTTTGTCCATCCAGAAATGTGGGGAATTATTTAAATTGTTGCCAGTTTTAGTTTTACTGAGATGCAGCCATACCTGCCACTACAATCCGCTCTGGAACCTGCATGGTTACGCTGGCATTTGGAAATCCTTCTTGGACGCCCTTCTCAAGGTCAGCATTTTGAGGAGCTACTTTGAGTTTTTCTGGGACCCTCATGCGCTGACTGATTCCTTCGGTGTATTCCATTTCGTACTGAAGGCGATTGATCTCTGCCATCTCGGCAGCCGGCGAGGGGAACGCAGCCCCGCTCATTCTGGCAAAAGGAAAGCAAAAGCTGTAATAGCAGTACAGGAAACCAGCAGCAAGCGCGTAAAGCAAACTCTCCGTTCTCATTCCTCGGCGAGTGTTGGACGATCCCAACCGAACAGGCTTACTTAGAGGAAGAAGCCATACAGTAAGAGTCGTAGGAAGTGTAGGCACAAGGGGCTGAGAGTTGAGGGCAGTGGCAGAAGAACAAAGTGATGCTGTAGGCAACGCTCAAAGCTGCGCTGAGGGTCCTCAAATTGAGCCGTGACAACGAAACCCGAGAAATTCTGCTTGTACCATACAATTCCTGCCCTGGCTGGCAGAGAAAGAAACCAAAAACGCATTGGTAGGACCGGTAGGAAATCTATTCAGACTGCTAAGGAATCTGAAACATCGACCTGTTTTCCCACGGGTCCAGCGCGCCGGTGCTGGAGAAAACGGATGTAGTCTTACAGAACTGCACGCTGAAGTAGGGGAGCAGAAGGGCCGGGCTCGGGCAGCAGCCTTCTGCTCGCTGCCGGGCACCCACGTCTCACCCCATCTTACAAGGACAAGGTTCCTAACCGACAGCCTGTCAACTCAGCCGGAAAACCTAGTGTGTCCAAAACCCATTCCCAAACCCAAGCAATTCTGGAAACTTCTCACTGCTGAATCCTTCTGTAAATGAGAATCTTACCTCTGCAGGGAGGTACAAGATGGGCAGAGACAGAGCAAGACTTTCTGCACGCTTAGAAGGGTTTGCCAATACTTCATACACACACGTTCCTAGAAAAGGAGGGGAATTTCATATGAAGCAGAGGGGGAATTTCCTAGAAACTGGGCCAACAACGTTACTAATATGGCAATTTCTGGGAGTCAATCCAAGATGAAAACCAAGATAACTGGGGTTTTTTTGAGGTTAGGTTTAAGGTTGAGAGAAAAAGGAATCCTTAGGTCTGCACTTGGAGGTGGGCTGGAAAGGGGCTGCTGATGGAACCGTGGGCTGGAAATGGAACTCGGATGGCTGAGAGAAGCTGTTCACCAGGGCAGCGGCTAGCGGACCCTGCTGACGGCTCAGACCGAGGTTACGGTTGTGGGCTCGGCTAGGAGAGAGACGTCTTGGAGCTGCAGTTGGAGCGTGCCTGGAAAGGGACTCCCAGAGGAAAACGAGTTGCAAGGAATACTTGGTTGTGAGAAGTGTCACGTCCAGCCAGTGGCTGGGGGACCTTGTCAACAGCTCAGACTCAGAAAACTTATTTTCACGCTTAGGACTGAGAGAAATATATATTTCTACACATATACATATACAGAAAATAGGTAAATATAGTTTCCCTGGCAAAGTCACCTATGGGAAGCATAGCTTACTCCAGCAAGAAAGCTTTTAGTGGCGCTGCTTCAACCAGTTCCCTAAATGAAGTAATCTCTCTTGGCAAAAAGGGAGGGTTTCCCACTGCAACTGCGTTCTTTGACTATTTTTGGCAGCCAGGCTACGTCCGTCACCGGGCGCGTGCTTTCGTAAGCTGGACAGGCAGCACTCCGTGAGCAGAGCGCCTCAGCGCAGGCCGCGCACGCAGCAGGTACGACGGACCGCGAGCCATCCCTCCCACCCTCACTCAAAAGCAACACTTCCCAGACTTCTCAAGAAAGCTTCAAACCAGCAGTAACCTTCAGGCAACAGGAAGAAGCACACAAGGAGGGTCTGGACCGCGTAACGGGATACTGAACGCACGCACGTAGCATACTCAAGATGTCATCCACCTGGCGACCCATGCAGGGATCCTCAGTGGTATTTTCAGGACATCCTATCGAAACGGAAGCATCTCATTCCTCTCAAAGCCTCACTGCAGCACAGCAGAACTGGGCGTCAGGGCGAAGCAAGAAGGTCACTGCTCTGGGTAAACTTAGACTAAAAATAGTTACGAAGGAAGTACCTGAAGCGATGCCGCTTTAATCCATCTGTATTCATTCTTACTGGCTGTATGTATCAAGTGGAAGGGACTGGAACTACCCATTTAATTAGAAATAAACACTCTACAGGATTTCAAGAGGTGCTTAAGGAGCTCTGTCACGTCAAAATTGTTAAGATTTCACACAGGTTTTTTTGTCCCTGCCCTCTGGTCTTGCAAGACCTTGGCTACGTCAGCCAGTGATGTGACCAAAGTGCACAGTCTCCTGATATTCCCACATTCCAAAAGGTGCTTTTTTATTTCAAAACATAGGCTATGATCAGTCATCAGTAACACATTTCCAGATCCAGGGGAGTAAAAACCATGATGTCAATATAGAGACCGATTTTTAAGAACTTCGGGTACCCAGAATATTTACTGGCAGCAGCTCAAAGAACAGTTACTGCTCCCAAGACTTTCTGCTTTGGCATTGCTTTTGCATCTAAGTCTGCAGGACAGCTGCTTTCCAGCTGTAAGACAGAACACACACACTAAAGGAGAGCATTAGAACAGTCGCTTCATAAACTATTTATAAATCACCGCGTACATGTAGCTGTACTTGCCGAGGACCTAGAGGTACAATACCTCCGTGTCTTCCTACTCTTGCCTATTTCTCATCTACTTTGCATCATCGAGAGTTGTATTTTCTGTCACAGTGATTTCAATTTTTACCCCTTTCTACAAGTGTAAAACAAGAAGCTGAGATTTCAGCAACAGAAAACTTTAAATATTTAAATGGAGCTTGTTAGCAACACCCCCCGGCAACTATTTAAAGAGAACAGAAGTCAAAGTTATGTATTCTGTAACGTTCTTGTTACACAAAGCATCTTACAGAAGACATTAATAACAAATGTGGCAGAAAGAGGATTTTAAAATTGATATTTACAGAACTAAGTAGTTCTAAAGAGGCATGAGAATAGACTAAGTCTGAAAATGATGAGACAATAAAAATACAACACAAATACAGGAAAAATAAAGGACGGAGCAGCTGAAGTACAAATAAGAATCAGCTGCATTTAATAAAAAAGAGAAAGGAAGGAGAAAATCAAGACGAGGATAAGGGAAGAGAGAGCAAAAGAGAAGTCACAGAACGTGAATTATACGTGCTCAGAAAGACACAGGGGTACCTCCTTCCCGCTCTCCTAAACAGGAACAGCAAGAGAGGAGACAGGGACGAAGGAATGCGCGTAGATCTGACTGATTTTGTCGGCCTTCCGGCAATAATCGCACGCTGGCCATACCTGCGCTGCAACCAGGACTGTTAGGCACAGCGCGGATGTCCCAGTTCATCGGAGGGATGTGCAGAGGAGAACCCCTAAGAGTGCAGCTGTGCCAGCACCCAGGTCAGAGCAGGTTTCACAGCCCACAGCAAACTAACTGTGACTTCTGTTCGGCTCTGAGGTGGCTACTTCCCAGCTAGTCTGGCCAAGTAAGCTAAAAATTGCTCCTGCGGCTGGGGTCTAGTTATCCTCTGACAAGGGCAAGAGAAGAACTTAAAGCAAAGTTCAGGAGCTGTATTAGAGGACTCAAAGGACACTGTTATGGGACCCTAAAACATGCATGACCGAGGCATTCAGCACCAGAAGCTGGGAAATAAGGAAGCACTGACGGAACAGTTGGAGGGAAAGGAGAGGCAGGCGTAGGCTAAATGCCTAAAGCCGTTCTGCACCCTAATTGCACGTGCTGAACTTCTAAAATACATTATTATCCCCCTCCCTAGGCACAAGGAGGGCACGAACGAAATAACGCCCGCGGCACATCAAGGGGGCTGCGGGCTCACAAACCACTCGAGGCCGCGTTCTTTCAAGCTGCTTGTCCTCCCGCTGGGGCTTTTCACGCAAACCCGCTGCTTTAAGAAAGCGGCACTGGAAGCGTCAGGAGGGAAAAGCTGTCAGGTCTGACAAGCGCTTCTCCGCGTGCCAACGACGCGCCGTGCCGAGCGGGCGATGCCCGGGGGGGGTAGGAGGGCGCGGAGGAGAGCGGCGGAGCCCCCGGCGTGCTCCAGCGCTCCCC